TAGACTCCACCCCTTCTCTCAAGTTGACAGGAGATTATGTAACCGCCACAGTGGTCATGATGGTGATGGTTGCACAATTCTGAATATACTGATCGCCACTGAACTGTACATGTTGAGTGAATTGTATAAAATATAAGTTAAATTTTTTTGAATATTTAATTATCCAGTGTTTGCCTTTCCTGGTAGAACCAGAGACTGTGGACCAGGGACCATGCCTGGCTGTTCCCTGGGGTACATAAGGATTGACATGAATATGTAAAAGAACACAGCATGATGATTCATTTCTCCTTCAGTCCCTCTCTCCCTTTACCCAGCTCAGGTAAGCAGGGTGGCGGGGACCATGTGCTTTATCAGAAAATCCTTCCTGTTCTCTACATTCAGGTCAACAGGAAAGGTGAATCCATTTACCTTCATAACCGAGCCAACTGGGTGACCGTAGGCATCTGTTCTTCCAATACCGCCCAGGATATCCCTAATGTGATGCTGCTGGCACATCTGACATCCACCACCCAGAAAGATACAGGACCCCTGTTGAAGACTCTGCTGACGTCGCCTTCCAAGGGGAAAGTGGTGCTCACCAGGTGAGTGACGAGAGAAGGAGGTGAAGATGTGCTTCCCCTCACACCCCACAAGGTGAAAATGAGCACACTGGTAACTGCTTCCAGGGAACGTGCTACTGGCTGAGATCCCTGTTGCAAATGATGAAAGAGTTGCAACCTTGAAATTGGGGGAAAGCATTTACCATGAACTGGCAGCCAAATGAGTGAATTCTTTTCTCCATGAAGTCTGAGTGGCAGGAAGTGAAGCCTTGTAACAAAGGGCCTCTCTAGAGCATGTCCTTCTGCCCCTACCACACCGCCCTGCCCTCCGAGGGAGTTTGGAGCTGATGGCAGGCACTGGCTGAGGGCTGGACAAACACCAGCTACCCCTGTTCAGCCAGTTCCAACCCAGAGCAGCTCCCGAGGGGCGCTGTGATCCACAGGCTTTTCAATGAAGCATGGTTGGAAAGTAGACCCGCCAGCCCTTTCTCCCAAGGACAGGTTTGCATCTCGAGCAACTCACAGACGTGTGCTGATGGCGTCAGGTGCCATCCAATCCCTCTGGATTCGCTGATGCAGGGTGCCCCGTGTCCAGCCGCACAGCGCCCCACGGGTCCTGCGCCCGCCTCACGATCGTGGCCTTGTTTGAACCCGTTGCTCCGCATCCACCTTATGGAGGATCGTCTGTCCTCCTCCAGGACAGGTGGC